TAAGACTGGTGAAGAAGGTAGTTTATCCTATAGAAAAACTGTAAATATAATTTAAATGTATATTATGGTAGTTGAAAGTTTACCTTTTTCACTACAGTATGACCTTACACTACCATAATATACATTTTAATTTATTAAGACTTTGCTACAGGATGATTTACATTTTTTACTACAGTATGACCTTACAATACCATAATATACATTTTTATTTATTCTAAGACTTTGCTACAGGATATTTACATTCTTCACTACAGTATGACCTTACAATACCATAATATACATTTAAATTACTTATACAGTGTGTCTCACGGAATCGACCGGTCACAACAGTCGAATTTAATCCAAATGTTTCCGTTGAAATGAAAAAATGTTTTAAAAAAATTTTTTTCGTTTTTCCTTTTCCCGATCGCTCGCTTTTTTGAAAATTTCACAAAATTGAAAATGAAATTCTCAAGCTTTAAAATGTACTTTTGTTTGGCGACAAAAAGGTCACACAGATTTTTGCCCATTCTTCTGCATTGATAGAGGGGAATTTCGTATTTTACAAAAAAATATCATATTTATAAAGCATACCTATTTAATTTTGTCATTTTTCGTTTGCACAGTGCAATAAAATAGAAAAAAGGTGACTGCACCGTGCAAACAAAATATTTTTAAAAAATAGCACTGTGCAGAACATCGAAAAGTCTTTGAGTAACATCCCCGGCTGTAAGAGCAGAGCCGTGGATGTCTGAAGCCACAAAAAGGGCAACAGTAAAAAGTGGAGAGAGCCATGCAAATTTTTGAGAAAATCATTCTATTTATTTATTTTATTTTTAAAATAAATAAATTTTATAAAATTTTGAAAAAAGAGACCGGTCAGTTTCATAGAAATTTTTGAAAGAGCGGTCGGATTTCAATAATTCTAGGAAGATACGATGGCAATGTACGTATGTTTTCTGATACTATTTTGAGTATGATACTAAATATTTTGTCAGCTTTAAAAATCTTAATGAAATTATTCATTTTATGATGAAAAGTATGGCTATGGGTAATGATGGGTACGGATTTAAACATGGGTAAGGGTATGGTATATATGAGCATAAGTAGAGGTATAAAAATGGGAATGAGTAAAGACAATCGTTTAAATATGGGCAAGGGTATATAAAATAGCTATGAATGTGGGTGTAGATATGGATATATTGGATAGGGGTATGCGTATAAATGTGGGTATGGTAAGGGTGCAAAAAACGTAACAGAAGATTAGATTGTTTCAAAACAAAAACAACCAATTTTAAAATTAAAATCAAGAGACGCGCGGCGGCCGCGGCGCCTTTATTTGATAAAAGGTTTGTTTTCAAGCATAAAAATATCAAATCACTTTTGAGTAGAAGCATATCATACTTAAAGTAGTTTCAGGATTCATTTGCATTGAATGAGCAGAAAATGATTAAAACAAAAACATTCGATTTTAAAGTTAAAATGAAAAGAAACGCGCGAGGGCCGCAAGCCCGAACCTTTTTTTAAACATTCTAACATTTAATTTTATTATAAAATAATTTTATACTAAAATAAAACAAAACTAAACTATCCAGACCATAGGATGCCCGCAGGGCATCCGTTGGTCTGGTATATTTAAATTTTAAACCTTTTTTTCTATTCTGACACTAATTTTCAAGAATTTTTATCTACAGGGTGTTTCAAGAAAAGTGCCGAAAAGTTAACAGCTCTTTCTCAAAAACTATTTGACCAAATTGGGTGATTCTTTTTTTGGTACACTTCAAATGGCGGACGGATTTGGTTTTTGCTTATTTTTTGACAATTTGGCGGACGATCGGCGGAGACCTTGCGGAGGCCAAATGATAATAAATTTCGTATAAAACTTCATAATTTATTTTGTGATAGAGCAACCACTTAATTTCGTTACTCAAAAGTCAAAAATTTTTTTAATTTTTGCTTCGCGTCGGCGGACGCTTATGATTTATCGGCGGAGGCCGTAACTTTGTTCATTTTGAACCGTTTTGCTTCGCACCAAAACCGTACTATTCAGAATTTTTTGGGCTTCAAAGTAGTAAAATTTCATAAAATTTGCATTTTTGCCCGAGAATCGGCGGAGACTTGGTAAATCGGCGGAGGCCGTAACTTTCTTAATTTTTAATCTTTTTTCTTCAAACAAAAAACATATTGATTAAAATTTCAAGCTCTTCAAAACCTTAAATTTTCCAAAAATTTGACTTTTTTATACAAAATCGGCGGAGACCGAGCGATTCGGCGGAGGCCGTAACTTTCTTAATTTTTAATCTTTTTTCTTCAAACAAAAAACATATTGATTAAAATTCCAAGCCCTTCAAAAACTTAAATTTTCAAAAAGATTGACTTTTTATTAAGAAAACGGCGGAGGGTTGGTATATCGGCGGAGGCCATAACTTTGTCAATTTTTAACCTTTTTTATTCGAACAAAAAACATATTGATTAAAATTTTAAGCTCTTCAAAACTGTAAATTTTTAAAAATATTTGCCTTTTTAATACGAAATCGGCGGAGACCGAGCGAATCGGCGGAGACCATAGCTTTGTTCAGCTTTAACCGTTTTTTTTTCGGACCAAAACAAGATTACTTAAAATTTTAAGTTCTTTAAAACCGTAAATTTAAAAAAATTGTTATGGTCTACGCCGATTTACCAACTCTCCGCCAATTTCGTATTTAAAAATCAATCTTTTTGAAAGTTTACTGTTCTGAAGCTTAAAAAATTCTGAATAATTTGGTCTTAGTCCAAAGAAAAACGGTTAAAGCTAAACAAAGTTATGGTCTCCGCCGATTCGCTCTGTCTCCGCCGATTTCGTATTAAAAAGGCAAATATTTTGAAAATTTACGGTTTTGAAGAGCTTAAAATTTTAATCAATATGTTTTTTGTTTGAAGAAAAAAGATTAAAAATTAAGAAAGTTACGGCCTCCGCCGATTTACCAAGTCTCCGCCGATTCTCGGGCAAAAATGCAAATTTTATGAAATTTTACTACTTTGAAGCCCAAAAAATTCTGAATAGTACGGTTTTGGTGCGAAGCAAAACGGTTCAAAATGAACAAAGTTACGGCCTCCGCTGATAAATCATAAGCGTCCGCCGACGCGAAGCAAAAATTAAAAAAATTTTTGACTTTTGAGTAACGAAATTAAGTGGTTGCTCTATCACAAAATAAATTATGAAGTTTTATACGAAATTTATTATCATTTGGCCTCCGCAAGGTCTCCGCCGATCGTCCGCCAAATTGTCAAAAAATAGGCAAAAACCAAATCCGTCCGCCATTTGAAGTGTACCAAAAAAAGAATCACCCAATTTGGTCAAATAGTTTTTGGGAAAGAGCTGTTAACTTTTCGGCACTTTTCTTGAAACACCCTGTACTTTGCACTGTGAAATAAAGTTTTTTTTAAACCTGCACCGTGCAATCAAATAAACCTTACTAAAACTGCACCGAACTAGTGGCATCAAATTTTTTGAAATTCGTGGCCACTATATATAAAAAATCAAATATGTTTTCATGACTTTTAAAAAAAATTTTAAAAATTTCAAAAAAGCTCACCAAAAATTAAAATTTAAAGTTTTGCACCGTGCAAACAAAAAACAAAGAACTTTTATTTCACTTTTCAGAAGATTTTTGAGAAAATTTTAATTTTATTTATTAATTTCTTTGTTTTTATTAATTTACAGTATCATAAGCTCATCTTATATTGTGCAAAAGCCTTTTGAACAACTGCACGGTGCAAAGGGCGTTTGAAGTCTTGAAAAATCAAACTTTTTATAATTTCTAGAAAAAAGTTCTTGCCATTTTTGTTTTGTAAAGAAAGTTCTTGCCATTTTTTGTTTTGTAAAGAAAGTTCTTGTCATTTTTTGTTTTGTAAAGAAAGTTTTTGCCATTTTTTGCGTTTTAAAGCTAAAATGCCATATCTAAACAAATATAAACTCATTCTATAACCTCATATTACCTGCCAAACATTAAACCCAACCGAACACTGGCTTAGACTTAGCGACCGTTTCGTGCCCGGCCCCAAACTAGGCCTATTGTTCAGGCAATGCGAAGAAACTTTGTTTCCAATCTAAAAAAGCAAAATTACTCACCAGAGTGCGATCAAAGTTGTCGCCGCGACACGGTTGCAAGGTCGCAACCTTGAGTACGGTATTTTGAGTATGGCCCCAGTGCAAACAGCTAGGCCATTTGATGCCTTCCGATTTCAAGTAGACTAGCTGAAAATGCGGAAAAATGTCATTTTGAATGTTTCTTTTAGCCAAAAATGTCATTTTTTAAAAAATTAAAAATTTTTTAAAAAATTTTTGAAAATTTGGAAAATTACAGTAACCCTATTCAAAATACCGTACCCAAAAAATTTAAATATTTTAAAATCCACCCCAAATTGAAAAAAAACAATTTCTCAAAAATTTTTTTTAATTTTGAAAAATTACAGTAACCCAACACAAAATACCGTACCTCAAACCCGATTACAATCCCATAATACTTAAAAAATCAAGAAAATCCACCCCCAAATCATAAAAAATAACCTTTAAAGTGTAAAAAAGTCTTGTCGTTTTCGAGCGTTGAAAGCAATGCAAATTGACGACAAGACTTTTTTGACACTTAAAATATAACCAAAATTATAAAAACCAGACCAACGGGAGCCCAAAGGGCCCCCCTGTCGGCCTGGTCTCGTTACTTTTGCTGTATTTTTGTAGAATTTTATAAACTGATAAAAAAATTAACTTAAACGTTATTTTTTTGGCGAGAATATTAAAAAAAAATAAACTAAAAAATTATTCTTAGTGACTCCAAATTTCTGTAAAGGTTCTTTAGATATAAATAATATAAAATTATTTTCTTATTATAAGAGTTTAACAACAAATAAGTTCCAATTGTAAAGAAATAACAAACAAATCAAATACAAAATTTATTCCACGAACGCATAATATTCCATAAAAATTATTTTGAGTAGGAATGACTTCTTCAGAGGGTAGAGAGATCATCAATATGAACTGGTCAAGCGATGCGTTTAAGGGGACTCCGAGTGTTCTTCAAATATTGGTGGGTCGGTTCGATTCCTTCTGGCAGAATGACGTAATGGGTCACGTCTAAAATTCCATTTTGATATTTTCCTTCCAAATGAAGCAGATCCCCTATTTCCATATGTTCGACTGGGACATCAACCTTGATACGAACGCGGTACCTCTCATCAACCACACTCCCAATGATTCCGTTGGGACTGGAAGTGGGGACGATTTGAACGTATGCGCTGACGGCTAAAATGTGATAAAATTAATTTAAAAGTAATAAAGATAAAGTAAAAACATAAATTTCGAAAAATAATAGTAAAAAATTGCAAAACTCTCACCAATCTTCTCGGAGTGTAGCGACAGATCATGTAAGCTTTGTAGAGGTACGGCTGGGTCATTATCGGCGTCGGGAATTCCAAGATCGGTAACAACGGTATTTGGGGTCATCTTGAGTTCAAAGGATTGTTCGCAAGGTGGGAAATTGCTTCCGCTTCGTTTTTTCATGATCTTTTCAAACCTAAAAAGGTAAAATTTGGAAAAAAATGCGAAAACTTACTTGTAGACATGTCCGACTCTCAAAGTGTCCGCCAAAGTGCTGGCAACTTCTGACCATCCAACGATTTGTAGGGACTCTCCGTTAGAGCATTCTGCAATCGCGCTAGAAACAGGGACCTGGGACCGTCCAGATCCAACACTGACACGGCGGACACCTTTGACTGACGTGACACGTAGAGTCACGATACATAAATCATCTTTCAAGTCTAGTAGATCAAGCTCTTCCAATGTAGAAAGTTGAAGGGGGTCCATGTCGCAAAAATGGTCGTTGAATTCTTGGCAGTAGGGCAATCGTGATCTGGGTCCAAGGTGAAAGTGGGTCTCAGGAATTCTTGGCGTTGGAGGTATTGAGGGTCCACGTGAGAGGCTGGTGTACAGAGCTGTTGAAGAAGGTAGGGTCGGTGGCACCTACTTCTTCTGAGAAATCGAGATAAACTGAGCATTTTGAAAAACATTGGGTCTTTTATACCAACTGATACGCACTCTTTTTGCGTGGGACTAAAATATTCACTTTTAAAAATAAAATTAAAAAAATTTACAAAAAATTATAAAAATTAACCGGTCGCTCATGAAAAACAGACCAACGGGGGCCCAAAGCGCATTCTGTTGGCATGGTCGTATTATTTTACATTTTTTATAACTATAATGAGATTTATGATTTATAATGTTCGAAGTTATCGTCGCGTTGAGTCGGTTAGAAACAATATAAACGTTTTTAATTGCATAGAAAGCTTCAAAAATTTTTAATTTTTAAATGAAAAATGAGCAGACGGCGATGTAGTGAAATATGTCAAAAAGCTTATAGCATAAAACAATCAATTTTATAAAATTAACACCGGCTTTTATTTTAATTTTTTAATTTAACCTTTGTTTGAACGGTTGAATTAAATATACGCGTGTAGAAAACCAAATTAATTTTAGCGTATAAAAAGGCGCGCGCGAATTGTGGCAGATTGCGCCCAAATTCTTGAGCTTTCTGTATATAAATAAATAATTTTGAGCGAGATCTAAAAAATAATGTTGTCATCGATGAATGTGAGCGCCTAAAGTTGGTAAGTCTTTGTCTCAAAGAGTAATATTAGGGTCTTCGCGTATAAAAAGAATTTTTGCGTATAAAAAGGCGCGCGCGCATTTTGGCAGCTTGCGCCCAAATTCTTGAATTTTCTCAAGGAAATAAATATTTTTGCGCGATATTTATAAAAGAATGTAGTTCACCGATGAACGCGAGCGCCTCAACTTGGTAAGTGTTTGTCTGAAACAGTAATTTTATGTTGTTTTATATATCTTTTGTCTTTTTTCTATAATTTGTATGTTTTGAGTTAAAAAAGCCTATATCTCAGTCTTGTCTGTTTGAAAAGTCTAAAAAGTTTAATATAAACCGCGAGCGTTACACATCGGATGGAAAGATTCAGACAAAAAATGCGATTTTCTGTCTGAAAGGTTGCCGACGGCAGTTAGAGAAAAAAAATATTGCGAAAAAATGAGAGACGAAACTTTCAGACAGGAAATCGCGTTTTTTGTCTGAATGTTTCCATCCGATGCGTAACGCTCGCGGTTTATATTTATGTTTCAAATCAATTGTATAATATAGTTTAAAATTCAACAAACTTTTTAAAATATTTATTCCACCAATATTACATAAATAAGCTTTCAAGAACTTCGTCTACTTGATATCGATCAATCGTTTACAGTCTTTCAGCGTGATAGAAACATATTACAGAGAGAAAACTGGGACCCGCGGTGGCTCATTTGATGCTTCCACGTAGCTTCGGCTCATGGAGTTGTTAATGATAGACTTGATGCCCTATTCATGTAGAAGTAAAATTGACTTTGGTGATCAGGTTCAGTAGGTAGAAGTTATGCTGATGTAAATGTAGAGAGAATTCATGATTCCTTTATTAGAGCGGGTCCTGGCGTTGTTAATGTAGAAAAACTTGATGGTCTTTTGACGTACATAGTTTACCTGACTGTGTTGATATAGGTAGATGTTAGATGTTACTTTGGCGTAGATGTAGAGGTAGACTTGAAGATTTCTGGATGTTAATAGACTGGCGGCTATGTGGATGGCAGATTTGAAGACGTGTTGGCTTGTGGCTATGTTGATATTGGCAGACTTGGCACCTAAAATAAAATATTATGATATAAATAGGGACAACTTACTTTTTTGAGAGGATGGCCGGCCGCAAGATGCCGGCCGATGACCCCGCAGGGTCTTGGTCTACATTTTTAAATTCAATAAAAAAGTCTTTTAATTCTTAGAAAATAAATTTACAAAAAATATAGAATAATTTTAGAAAAGCAAAATAAAAAAAGCGGTTGTTCACGCAATAATAAGAAAAAATAGTTTTTTAAAATTTATTTAAAATTTCTTTATATACCACGTTTGTAACCTCTGGTGTTTCGTCATTTTCAATCTGAATCTTTAGGCGTGACCAATTCTGAACCCTAGAAAGCGCTACATATAGTTGGCCATGTGTGAATACTTGATGTTTGCTTAATTTTAACCCAATTTTTTCAAAAGTTTGGCCTTGCGATTTATTGATTGTCATAGCGAATGCAAGTCTAACAGGAAATTGATTACGGTAAAACGGAATGGGCAAATTTTTAGCATTTTCGAGTGTTATGCGAGGAATAAATACGATGGAACCTGTTTTTTCTCCTGTCAGGAGAAAAAACAGGTTCCATCACTATTCTAAGCCTAGTACCATTACATAAACCTTCTTTTATGTCTAAGTTTCTCAGAACCATAACTACGGCGTTTACTTTTAATTTCAACTCAAATTTAGGGAAATTCGAATCACCTAGAGTATTCAAATATTCTGTCATATATTTGTACTTATCAGTTTCGTCTTCTTTTATTTCATCTCTACTATAGTAAGTTCGTTCTTCTCCTTACAATTTTTAGGATCTCTTCGTTTAGTTCATCAACTTCTACATTTAGTGGAGCCAAAATTGATCTTCGGGTTAACTGGTTGACATTGTGACTTGTTATTTCGTGGCCATATATTTCATGTACCAAACTGTTTTTTGTGACACAATTTAGAGGTAAAATGATTTTTTGGTCGATTGTGTTGGATTTTCCCTCACCAATTTGTGAAATGTCAGAAGCAAATTGAATATTTTCTGCCCCAGCTCTCATGTGTTGTTGCAATTTCATAATTTTAAAGCTTGGCCATAATACACTATCTTTTACGCTTAATCTGACCGTCTGATTTGAAGTGGCGTTTTCTTTTATAGGTAAAATTTGCCTAAAATCACCTCCCAGTAGCATGATTTTGCCTCCAAACGGTAATCTACGGCCGGTAAACTCCTGTAATGACCTATCAATGGCTTCTAGCACATGTTTACTGACCATAGAAGCTTCGTCAATTATGAAAACGGAAGTTTTAATTAATTCTTGGCATTGTTTTGTGTTTTTGCTGAGGTTGGAAATGCTTGTACTGTCTAAATCTAGTCCAAATTTAAATGTGCTGGGCATGGTATGGTATTGCCGTTTGGAAGCAAAGTTGCTGCTATTCCAGTAAAAGCCATGCACATAACGTCTTTTTTCATTCCTTTTATAAGGTTATACACGGTTTTGTAAACAAAAGTCTTCCCTGTGCCTCCTGGACCATCAAGAAACATAAGTTTTTGATCAGTTTCATTGTTAATCATTTTTAGTATTTCTAGTACAACATTTTTTTGGTCTGAATTGCAACTTTCAAGCATTATTTCACCTTCTTCCTTGAACTTTTCGCTATTTTCAATTTTTCCGTTTCTAATGCATTTTCATAATCTTGCAGCTGTTCATCAGAAAATTCAATGGCAGAATCCATTTGAAAATCATTAAAGTTTTTTCCATTTCTGATCAAAATTTTTTCAATAAAATTATATGCTATTTTGTAGCCATCTTCTCCGAATTTTTGCACACAATCTTCTGAAAGATCTTTTTTGAATAACTCATACATTTCTTGAGGATTTGTTGGCGAACAATGGACAAATAGCATTGCAAAAAGAAACCGAAGTTGACGTGGCATTTTGGAGAAGGCTGCTTCTTTAATAGCGTTAATATAATCTTCATCGTCTTTTATGAAACCTCTGGCTAAACATGCTTTTTTGTAAGTTGAATGTATTACTCCGTCAACAGTTTTTAGTTCATCGAATGATTTCGGGCTTCTAATTCTCAGTAAAAGTAGCCTAAGATGAAAAACTTCTGAATTTTTTGGGCTAATGTTGTAAATTCGGCCGATTGTATTAAAATGGGCTTTTCGTTTTGTCCATTTCATTTCTTTTCTGTTCCAAGTGTATTTTTGGGGTAGTTCATGATACAATAAGTTTGTGTTTTCGGCTTGATTTAATTCAAAAAATGCCATAAGTTTTGACTTTTTAGTTTGTTTCAATTCCTCAATTCTTTCTAATGTGTCTGTTTTTTTTGAAAAATATTGATTGTTTGCCTTCATCATGGATATCAAGTCTTTCTACTGTATGGCTTTTTACTATAATTTCGTTTCCTAATATTCTCCATGCTGCTTCAGGGGCGCTTAGGTACCTGCATTCAATGTATCGTTTAACTTCATCGTAAGTCAAGACATTCTGACCATCGTTATTGACCCTTTCAACTAAAGCCTGATCTACACCTTTAAAAACGTACTTGTGCAGGTATTTGACTACTTCAATGTCAGCAACGTGCTCTGTGTTGATGTGGCAATTGAACTTTTTAGAAAGGTGAGGAGAGTATGAAACTACATGTCGGTTGTCTAATATTTGGCCATCAGGTGCCTCAAATTTTACACCATTATTTCGACGTCTGTAATTTGCATAGCCTCCGGTCTTCATTTCTGTTTCTTCTTTAAATTGTTTTGGAAATTTTTTGGCACATTTTTCAGAATTCTCGATGCAAGGAAATTTTTTCCATACAGTACCTGTTGATTTGTTCATTTTTTTACATTGATGCATGTTATTTCTTGTTATAATGTTGTATAATTCAGGTTCAACTTCTTTATCAGGTATTTCTGCCCAAATAAGTTTGTCAACGTCTTGCGGGTCTCTTAATTTTGAATTTTGTGCGAGAATGAGCAACAAATGTAAGTGAGGTAAGCCCCTTTTTTGAAACTCTATTGAGCCAGTATACGCGACTACTTTACCGAAAAGTTGACTTTTAGTTATGTAGTTGATCATTTCTTTGTATTTAATTTTAAATACTCTCGCAACTAATTCGGGTCTATCTGCTGAAACTTGGCCAGGCAACAAATTATTTTTAATTTCAGGCCATT